GTTAATTGTGTTTTGAAAATTTCTTGCATTGAAACAGGCAACATCCGAGATAGTAAAGCAATACCATGTTGATCACATATACTAATTAAATGATTTATACAATTTTGTAATGAAACCTAGAAAATGATGTTACATTAAGAGAATGATAATTTTTTTGTAAAGAACAAATAAAGTTGTAATTACAATAATACAGTAATACAATAACTTTACCTTCATAAAACTTGCTATTGAGTTCTCTGAAAATAATTCCAGCAAATCTGCTACTAAGTAGGGACTTATTCTAATCATATCTTTTTTAAATTTTATTAGAGCACTTGTAAACCTGTGTACAAAAATATGGATTACATGTTATAGTACATATTAAGTCACAGAAATTTCACTTTTACTTACTTTTCAATCTCCAATGTCAGGCATTTCAATAAATGTTCTTCACACTTATCAGTAATGGCTTTAGATTTATGCGTAACAATATTTATTATACGCCTGTACAATAATAATAATGAGGATATTCTATCTGTAATTAGATTCGTTCTCATTCTTAGTAACACACTGCACAACACTAACGTATCATTACAAATTAGTAGTGTGCCTTTCTGTAACATTTTCAAGCCAAATGTTATGCTCATATCAATTATATGACCAGGAAGATGTAAATGTTTAGTGATAAAAATGTTCTGAATTAATTTCAATATATCAGTCGCAAAGTTTCCTTGAATATTCATAGTTTGTATTCTTCCAATTAAATTATTAATAGCTGCTAAGCGTAATCTATTCCGATCAGTGGACATATTTGTTTTCAATATAGCATTCCATATTGTACAAATATTTTCTATATTGGTTTTTTGTACATATAAAAAACTTCGCATCTGTAACAAAATGAATTAAATTTTATACAGATGTTGAAAAAATACTATAACTCTTATTAGATACAAACTCAAAATTAAACTCAAAAGCTAGAAATACGAAACCAAAAAATAACAGTTACAGAGCCGATATAATTTCGGTTCTGAAGAACTGAAGCTGATATATTTAATAACAGTTATGACATTTTTCAGTTCTTCATAACTTCATAGTTTCGATCAGCATCGATATATAACAGTTTAAAACAGTTATTTTCGAAACCTTTTCAATCTCTGTTAAATATTTTAAGATAATATTACTAAAAAGAAACAAAGTAATAGAAATATTAATAACGATGATATTAAAAGTGATGCTTAAACGTACCAATTGATTATCTAATTCCTCAAGAAATTCGGAAAGTAATTTCGTTTCGCTTGATTCCAATAACGGTAAGAGCACATCTGCACACGGGTATTTAAGTAAAGCAAACCATACGCCCCTTATGATCTGATCCGTAACATGAAACAACTTTTTATTGTGTAAGACGACGCTCATCAATTGTAAACCATTTTGTAACAGCTCGTTTGTAACATTGTCCTTCTGTCCATCAAGTTTTTTTGTTAATTATTTTACTGACTTAAAATAAATTTGTGAATTAAATTATATTTACCACAAATATATTTTGCATCATCGATTTCGTAACATCTTCTAATTTCTCATCAATGGTTTCATTCGTGATACTTATTCTTAATAATAAAATTAGTACTTTTATGTCTTTTGTTGCTACTTTGGGTGACAAAGATGTCATCGTAATTTTAATCAATTTATTTTCTGCCTTCTGCACTATCGCTTTTTGTTCAACACTCAATTTCGATTTAACATGTTCCATAGATTCTAGTAAGAAAATCATGTCAGTATTGGAGTTAATAGAACATTTCGTAAGTTTCTTCAAACTTGCATATGAACAGTTTCTAAGATATAGCTCCAGTATTTTTTGAACAATTCTATCTTGTTTCAAATATTGTAATGATACAACAGGATCTATGTACTGAAATATATTAATATTGGGTTTTT